CAGCAAAAGGGCCCTTCAGGCCTCACATCAGGGGATACTAGGTGAGAAACACCCCTCTCCAGTTCCCCCCCCCCCCCAAGTCCATGATTGCAAAGTCCGGAGGTCCAACTTGCCGTCTGAGAATGGCAAGTTCGGCCCATCGGAAGTTGCCAACAACTCGCTTCCCGAGCCGCCAGAAAGGGAACCAAGGCATAGTTCATCCGAAGCGTCACTCTTCCCCCCGCTGAAACCCCTCCTTTCGGGGAGCCCGGCTGTCCTGGCATGAAAGCCAGACGCTTGGCCCATAAAATTCTAAGGACGCTTGGCCCATAAAATCCTAAGGACGCTTGGCCCATAACATCCGGTGGAAATCCTCAGCCCAGCTGCAGTCCGTGAGGCATGGGATGACCATTGGGGAATCACTGCGAATTTGATATTTCAACCACTAAATGGCCATGGCATTGATCAACACCCACCTGTTGCAAGGAACATGGAGTTGGCCCTCTACAAATGTGGACTGATGTGGGCTAACGCTTCCTGAAGTCCCTGAAAAACGAAAGATTATATTGCTAACGTGCGCCGCAGAAGATAGGCAACAAAAGCCGGTGAGTGATAAGAGTGCCCTTAAGGGGTGGGTTCCTTTGCCCGTGGTCACGCCTCTTTGGACCAGGATTGAGAGGGTAACAGGCCAACAGCTCAGGTGAAAAGGCACAGTGAGCAAACGAAAATGTATCGAGCTTTTTTCTTCAACAATGACCTGGCCCCAAGCTACACAGCCCAGAAGCGTGGGAACCAAACGATTGGTAACCAATGGGCACCTTCGGGGAACTTGCAGCCAATAAACAAACAGCGATTGCTTCCCATGTCGAAGAATAGGATCACTGGCAAGGTGGTACCCCCGTTTTATTCGCCTGCAGTTGCCAGCCCAATCAACAGCTCACCAATGCCAAAATCCGCAATGACGCGTCCATCGTCCAAGTTCCAGCTTTCTGCCCGGATCATGGGGCCAGGCCGCCCTCTTCACAAAGCCACTACGGTGGACGCCCCAACTAATGCCAAACATGTCAACTGGGCGGAGCTGGGAACGAGGGCAACCCTCAACCTTGGTTGACGTTGGAAGGGCAGCAAAAAATAAAAGTTTAGCAGTAAAGGGGAGTTGGATTTCAACCACTAAACCACAATAAGCAAAAATGCAACAGGTTTCCCAACAACAACCATGATTTGGCCCCCTGATACTTCTGAAACATGCCGCGAATTGCCGCGATGCGAAAAGGAGCTAGTAAAGCGAATCAGCCCGAGCAACTTGCAAGCAACTTGGACGCTCCGTTTGCCTCTCCCGAGCTCAAGGTCTCGCGGAAGGCGAAGTCCTCGAAGACGTCTTCCTGCGGAGTTCGACGCCCCAAGGGTCATGCCCAAGCACTAGCTGTAATGTTAACCCCGGACGAATAAACTCCTGGTTGATTCATGGGGGGGTGTCCGCTTTTAGTGGGGATTCATCACCTTTGGAGGGAACACCCCCTAACAAGGACAGGTTTATCAATCCTGGGTCAACATGTTCAGGCACCTTTTCTCAGAAAATTGGCAATGCCGCAACAACCTGGGTGGTGTCTGAAGAGAAGACTATGGGAATTTGGCATGGAATCTTGAACCAACAACCGCTAAACATGTTTTCATGACAACAGGCGCTTGCCAAAGGCCATGCATGACACACAAGAAAATCCGCAAGCTGCCGATCTGGATTGCTACTGCTTCACAAAACGGGAATAACCAGGGAAGCACGCAGCCAAGAAAAGGACGTTCATCATGTATCCCGTTTTTCCCACCAGGTTAGTTTGTGCAGAGTCCTACCACCGAATCGCTCTCCAAGCAAGGTGTGGTGGAGTTTGCCGGTATTCGACGTAGGTTGCTGATAAAAATGGCCCTTGGATTGCAGTTGCCCGTGCCCAAGTTGCCCAGTGCCCGGGAAAAGAAAAGAAAAAAACAGAAGGGTTGCCAACGGCTCCCATGGCCAAGACCCCAACTTGGCAGACCTGCAATGGCCATGCGTCACAAAGGCGCATAAGGGGGGGGGGGTTGGTTCACCTGTAAAGGAACGCCCCTCCCCAAAAAATAGGGGTGGCAAGCATCACAGGTCTGGGAGCACTGGGTGTTTCTAGACAATTGGGGTGGACAGAAAAAGCCACCTGCGGTCGGAAGTCGACCGGTCTCCGTTCAATCCGGGTTCTGCAGATTTCCCGTCAAACATCACTCCGATCCCAAGAGGCAACACACCATGGGCCAAAACGGAGACTTTTGGGGGGTTCACCAGCCAGTCCAGGAAGCGACTTCTTCCTGGACCCGCCCTCAGGGGCGCTTCCGCGCCCAAGGTGTCTAGGTCTTCCGAAGATTGGCAAATCAAACTAAACCGGGGCGGACATCTCCCGTCTCCCAACTATTGGTGGGTTTGCGCCTTCATTGGTCGGCCAAAGCATATGGTCAAAGAAACTCGTGAAAAGCATGAACAGTATCAATGGAACATGGGAACAAATTCCTGGAGAAGAACAAAGGGATTTCCTACCCAACCGTTGTTTGCTCATTGCGGTCGGCGAAACCAACTCCCCAATGGGGGGAAGTGGGTGCTCCTCATAGTTCTCCAGCTGCCCTGTCTTCCGCCGGAGCTCATCCTCCTCGATGGCATCCACCTGCGAGAAAAAACGTCCCAAAGCGACGCGCCCGCGGAGTTTTTCGGCGCGCGGACTTCAGATTGGGCACCGGAACCCCAAATTTGCACACATCTTGTCAGGTATGCCAAGCCCTGACTAAAAGGCAGGCATAAAAACAAGGAAAGCCGTCGTTCAAATGCCTAGAAAGAGCCATGCGGAGTGGATATAACATGGAACAAGGTTGATGCGGCATCCCGCCCATTCCGGGCCTCGGGGGCTTATAAGTCCTCACAGGGCCCTGTCTTTTGTCGCTAGAACTCACCCGCCCCAAGGATCTGGATATCCTTTTGGAATCTTGACTCAATAGTTCTCCAAATCAGGGAGAAGGCAAAAGGCCCGCTTGGGTCAACTGAGATATAGCGTCGCCGCCCACTTGAAGCTGGCCCCGTTTAAACCCTGAAAAACCATCGCGCAAAATTTGCCTCCAACGAATCATGGCGCGCCTAGGTTCTGGCTCAGGTGGGCAGAATGGGGGATGCGCGACTTCGCACGAAATCCTAGCGGCTGTGCAAGGGCTTCAAGGGCCCAGGCAATAAGAAAGGAAGAGTACACGTTTTGTTTTTTGGATTTACATGCAGAGGGACGAACATAAGAAGCAAAGCTCCAAACTTCAAGCAGCGGTTATTCCCGGGGGGTTGAATCACAATCACATGCGGTCCCAGCGATGTTTGCGGAAAGGGGGGGGTCGGGGATCAAAAAGCCAACTCTCCCTGTTTTGGGGCCCAAGGTGGGTTCAACCCAGTTGCTGTGAAGGGGAATTAAGACGGGTCCATGTGGAAATAGAGTCCAAAAACCCCTGAAAAACCAAGGGTTGGCTCCCTTCGGCCATGACGAAACAGAGCCACAGCCACGGGGTATCGAAACGCCTTGAACTTCTCCAACTCACAAAATGGACACAAACAAATCAGGGGGCCTTACGGGAGAGCTTCTTGCCATTGAGGGAGACCACGGCTGAATTTGCTCCAAAAAGAACCGTGGCAAACCCTCATAAGGTTGCAGTGATCATTGAACCCCCCGGGGCCAGCCCCCATGCTGCGTTTGTTGCGAGTATGTAATTCTAAAATGTACAGGTCATACTGTGGAGAAAGTCTACTTCGCACCAGTTGAGATGGATGAAACCTGATTTGAATGCTTACCGGATTGATAAGCCAGCTGCCAATGGTGCTGATCAGCGCGGATTTGGTCCACACGACCTTTGGACATCTTTTGGAGTGGACCCACCCGCATCTTGGGGCATTTCTGTGGGCCTTTCCCATCAGATCTGTCGCTTCAAAGTCAGCACTCAGCTTCACAAGTGGCGCGAGTTCGGCAGCTCGCCCATTTTCTCGCACGAATGGAACACCCTCTGCGCACGCCTGGACACTTTCTCGCAATTGATGGGAAAGAACAGTTTAGTTCTGCTGGCCCCTTCCAACAGTTCTTCCTAGCGGTTCCCTGAAAAGCTTTCCTGACAAAGCGATGTGGACACGACTTTCTAAACTACAACATATATATATATATATATATGCTTCAAAATGATGTGGGGGTCGGCACAAAATTGGCCCTTGCGGTTCATAAGTTTTGCCCCAAAGATTGGATTGGAGGAGTAAGAGGCACCCAAGGGCACGTTCCAAAGGACGATTCAGGCTGCTGCACGCCCGAGACCCTTCCAAGCATAAACCTGTGCTAGACTTCTCAGCTGTTGCCCCCCAAACAAAAAACACTTGTTGATTCTGGCCCATCTTCAGCGAAGCTCGCGAACATACATTGTTCCTTTTAGAGAACCCCTCCCGCCCCCCGTCAGGGGGCTTTGAACGGCTGCAAGTGAGGCCCAGGACTCAAACTGTAAACTCGCTTGCCCGAAGGGCCTGGACACATTGGCTAAATAGTAGGTCAGGGGGAAACACAATGTGAAAAGGTGGATTCGCTTTGGGCAACTGAGAAGTTTGACTTCAACAGGGAGACCCTGATGTAGAAGAAACTCATGTCGGAGATCCCGGCAAGGGGTTTCAAATGCATGCCTGAAGTGTGCTGCTCTTGCCCCCTGAGCAAAGGTGCGCTCGCCCGTAGGATTATTCAAACGCCGCTTGCTTCCAGAAGGTTGCAGGGGGCCCCGGAGGTCACAAAGACCAGCCAAGGTTCCATCTTCATGTCCTAAGACTTCATGTTCCGAGTCGACCGGCCAAAAAAAAACAGCCCAAGCTCCTTTGCCCATACACAAGGTCCCAACTCCAAAATGTGGCCGACGTTGAACGGGAGTGAGAACTTCCATTTGCTTAAGCCTTGGAAAAAGGACAATTATGTTCAGTAGTGATAGGTTCCCTTTAAAACCAAAGAGGGTGACTAAACAATATTATTACCTCAGGTGAGACTCGCCCCCGAGACGCTCTGCATCTCGATGCTCCGCGGCACGCGCGAGGCGCGCTGCACCGCGCGCCGTGCTTGCACGAGGCAGATGCTCAGACCCCCCAGCGCTAGAGAGCCGATGGCTAAGATCCTGCCATGGCCGAATATCACATGCTTGACGTTGGGAGGGGAGCAAAAACATAAAATTTAGCAGTTCAGTGGATTTGGAAATGAACCACTAAACCACAATCAGCAAAAATGCAACATGTTTCCCAACAACAACCATGATACCCACACACACACACACATATGGGGTGTCTCTGTTTTTGACTCACTTTCCAACGAGTGCCGCATAAAGGGGTGTCTCTGTTTTCACCTCCGGACGAGTGGATTGGCAAACAAAATGCAAACTTGTTCCTTGCCAACCACTGATTTCGATTCAGGGGTTCCGACTTTGAGACAGCTGGTTCCCAAGCGGCGTGGGCTTCAATCTTCGATTCCTTCGGGGCAATTTTGGATATGATAGGGGACACCCATAAGGGCACGTATCGGCTCGTTACCTCTTTGTTGGTTTTATGAAGGAAAGGCAAAAGGACCACCACTGTGTTTGGCCCCCTTACTTTGACACACGCACACACAGACACATCCCAAAACAAACTCAGGGTTGTTCAAGGAGGGATGGTGCTAAGTAGGGAATGGCCCAAGGTGTTGGGAATGGAACTAGGGGTTGGTTTTTCTTGGGGACATTCCCTCATTCCCTGCTCGGCACCAGCAACAAAAAGTAAGGAGTGAGTGGGCGGTCCCTGGCAAACCAACTTGTTTTCAGCAGGCGAATCGGGGCCGTCATGGGTGGCTTTGAAGAAGCCATTTCGTGCTGTAGATGCAGAGCTGTAGAAACATTTTGTTCTTAAAAAAAGAAGTTAACGGCCATCTCAATAAGACAAGTTCACAAGTGAAAGGTTTGCATCAGCCAGCGGCAGCACAGAACAGCGGTACCTGGGCAAGAGCCCAGGCAAGCAAATGCTGTGCAACAAGAACGTGCGCAGTGTTTGTTCTCTCTCTCTCTCTCCCTCGCAGTCCTGACGGTCTGGAAGAATCCTTGGCTGAGATCTGTCGTGCGGAAATGACTCAAGACTGCTGGACATCTTGACCTGGCCTCAGCAAACAAAAGGCACTCGATATGTTCAAACAGAATGGCCAAATCGCATTTCTGAGGAACCCAAG